TCTCACTCTGACACCCAGACTGGAGTGCAGTGGCCACCCCCAGCCACCGCAGCCTCGACCTGCTGGGCTCCATGATCCTTCCACCTCAGCCTTCCAAGTAGCTGCAACTACAGGCGTGCGCTACCACGCCCAGCTAATTTTTTGATTTATTATAGATGAGGTCTCGCCAAGTTGCTCAGGCGGGTCTCGAACCCATGGGCTCAGGCAATCCACTCACCTCAGCCTCCCAAAGCACTGGGATTACAGGCTGAGCCACCGAGCCCGGCTATAAATAAGTCTTATTGGCCAAAGTTATGCCCTGAGTGGAGTAAAGTGTCAAATTAACTTTTAAATGTGCACTTACTTTGCAGTGGTAAAGAATTACTTTCAACACCGTGAATTTTCATTCACACTGAAAGATGATATTTACATTCGCTACCAGTCCTTCAACAACCAGAGTGATCTGGAAAAGGAGGTGCAGAAAATGAATCCGTACAAGATTGATATAGGCGCAGTATATTCCCACAGAGTAAGAAATTCTTTTTTTTTTAATATATTTTTTTTTGTTCTGTTTCGCAAATCAAGAATGGGTTGGTGCCTCCAGCACTTTGAGATGAAATGTTTAGGGTTTATTCTGAGACACATTTTTTAACTGTTTTGCAAGTATATTAATATTCTTTTGTTCTTTGATGCTGTATAGGCCTGGAAATCATTTGAAAGTGAATTGGTTGCATTCCCATGAGAGGAAAAAAATTGAGTATCTGGCTAAGAGACTAAATGAGGAAGTCAGTGTGATTTAAAATAGAGAAATAAAAGAGAATTATATTTTCTGCCAGTGTTGGAGCTAGTTTTTTTTGTTTTTTTGCTTTTTTTTTTGAGTTGGAGTCTCACTCTATCGCCTAGGGTAGAGGGCAGTAGCACACGCACGGCCACCCCAGCGTCAGCCTGCTGGGTTCAGACAATCTTTCCGCCCCAGCTTTCCAAGTAGCCAGAACTACAGGTGTGCACTACCACGCACAGCTAAAAAAAAGTTTTCCCACCCTTCTCCCACTCATTTTTTTATTTATTGTAGAGATGAGGTCTTGCCAAGTTGCTTGGGCTGGTTTCAAACCCACGGGCTCAAGCAATCTACTCACCTCAGCCTCCCAAAATGGTGGCATTACAGGCTGAGCCACTAAGCCTGACCAGGCATGATTTCTTTTCAGTTGTTTATTTTTTACTGCATTTATTATTTTTTATTTTATACGTATAAAATTTACCATTTCTAAGTGTACGGTTCAGTGATAATAAATAGATTCGGATTGTTTTAATTTCCTTTTTTCCTTTTTTTCCCTTTTATCCCCCTGGAGTCATTCTTTTTTTTTGAGTTGGAGTCTCACTCTGTCACCCAGACTGGAGTGTAGTGGCCGCTCCTGGCCACTGCAGCCTCGACAT